TGCATCTGCCAAGAGCTCTTCCCTTTTGGAGTCATCGATATCATCAAATTGTCCACGTAGATTGAAATCACGTTCATCTTCATCTTCAGGTTCATAGTCCTGATCAAAGACTTCTTCTAAGTAACCTTGTTCCATGTCATCCACTCCTGTGATTTGATTGCCACCTTGAAATGTCTCCAAATCTCTCTTCTTATCAAAGAACTTCATGGAAGTAACACCTTCAGCAGTAGCCCAAGCTTCAACATATAATATAACTGAAACATTAATCGATTAAATGCTATCTAGCGCATACGATTGCCGGTGGAGTAAGCGGCTGTAAAGGTCAAGTACCGTGAAGCGACGAGTCAGCAACTAGTTTGAACCATTGGAGACATCTGGTGGACAGAAGTTGCTCTAGTCAGGATCGAGGGGATCCCAACTCTACCCGCGACAAGGCGGGGTGGTTTCGGGGCGTTGATTCCTCGAAATGGGTTCAGGGGGCCTGGGCCGGGTGGAAGAAGCGGTGAAGGATACGGCATTGGGGCGCCAGAGCGCGGCGATAGGCCGTGCGTTCCATTCTGACCAGCTTCAGCCACTCTTCCCTATCGACCAATGGCTTGTTCAACACAGTTCGGCGTTTCACAGCGAGCATGCGTTGAACTACCTTGGGTAGGTCGGTTGGGCCCATATCAAACTGAGAGTGTATACCGTCGTTCACCAATCGGCTACGTTCGCGTAGCTGTACGTTGTCCTCCGAATGGTGCACCGAGTTCCGGTGTTCCCACATATGAAATCCAAGCAAGATCAACTGATGCGACAGGCGAGAGACCCACAGGTTTGGAGAGCGTTGGCTCCCACGTGACTGAAGGTACTGTTCCTGCAGGGGCGTCCACTGAACAGACAGCCGGCCTTCCAATAAACCTTGGTAGCCGATGCGTTGTTGAGAGAGGAAAGCGTGGCGAAGGCGAACCGGAACCAATCGACTGCGAGGTAGGGACGGATCGCGAACCCCTTGAAGAAGGTAGAGAATAGCGTGTTTGATGGCTGGGTCAGTGACTTGAGTGTCTAGCCATTGGTCCAAAGACGCTGTCCGGCGACCCCATTCCGCTCTAGCCGAAGGCGCCGTACATCGAGGGACGTGAAGGTGGTCCTCAAAATCGCCGCAGCAAGGACATGCAGCTGAGTCGGCGGAACCCCACCGGACTTTGAACTTCCCTACAACACACATACCCACGACGTGCTTTGTGGTCCAACGTTGGACACCTGCCGGAAGAGAGCGCAATTGTCTGCCGCTCGTGCCATCGCTTGCGTAGAGCAGGCAGCGCCACAAGTTCCTGGACCTGTTCTGGATTCAATCGCGACTGTTTGACGTCCCCAATGTAAAGGGCAGCCAATTCGGAAAAGAACCGAGCATTAGGTGCAATCGAGCGGTGTGAAGCCTCAAGCTGGTGGCGATAGGCAACCGCCCACGCATCCACTTCCACATTCCGTTTAGACCACCAAGAGAGGCACAAAAAGGATGTCGCCGTATTGAGGTGACCATACACGTGGCGAGGTTCCCACGAGGCCCTAGAGCGGGCAAGTGCCTCCCGGATAGAGGAGACCAGGTCAAACTGGGCTTGTTGCGGTGTGACTCGATTGTCACCAAAGGTGTTGAGCAACGCCGAAAATCCATCGCACGCAATCCTGATGCGAGGTGGTGATTGAAGTGTTGGGGCCCACTGATCGAGGAGCCAATCAACAACCATGATACCGGCCAGTAGGCCAATCAGTTCACTCCGGTACGCGCTCTGGTCGTCAGTTAGACCTGGAGTCTGGCATCGGACGATAATACGTTCCGTGCCACCCTTACGTGGAAGCAGTTGAACCGCTGCCGTGCCCATACCGAGCTTATAAGAACCGTCGCTGATCACACACAACCGGTCTTCGAGTAGGGCTTCCGCAAGGAGGCTTTCGTCGCCATCGATCTCAATTTCTTCAGGGGTCCAGCCAACATACTCTGTCACCCTGGCTGAGGCGGCCATCCAGGCGGCCAGCAAGGACGGTTGAGAGTCGGGATGCGGCTGCAGCGGTACTGTCCCAATGCCGGTGAGGGCTAGAGAACCTAGCAAAGGCGTAATGTGGACGGTAGCTCGGCACAAGTCAGCAGGGAGTGGTTGGTTCCAAAAGGGGGCTGGCAAGAAGCTGACGCCGTTGTCGGTATGCTCGGTATGTGGTCGTTTGCACCCGGACAATTGCGTAGAACGAGGATAGTCCCATTGAATGCTCCGTGTGGAGAAGCTACGGGGACGGTAGCGCTGCCACCCATGGCCCTGGCGGTGGAACAATCCGTGGGTAGAAGACCATAACCAGTTCCAGTTGGCGAGGGGATCGATCCATGGGCCCAGAGGATGACGCAGTAGGCGCTGGGGTCCGTCAGAGACAAGTAGTGCTCGGGTAAGGTGTTCCTGCCACA